AATTTTGGTTTTCTTCTTTCTTCTTTGCTCTTGACGAGGAGAGACCCATCATTGCATCTAGATGGCAGCTTGCTAGCTTTTAAGATCCCAGTCGCTATTCACCAAAGTAGGAGGTAGAACAATGTTTTGTATAGTATGTTATGCCAATTGAGCTTGATGTCCCCTGCTTTTCACAGTTCTTGACAATTGATCACTCCCTCCTTCTAAAAATTTCCCTTGGCTTTCAAAATATCAGCATCTTATTTCCTCTCCACTCACTGGTCACTCTCCTATTTTCTGTTGCTCCTTCTCCTCTTCCCTACGCTAAATGTCAAAGTTTCCCAGGGCTCAGTTTGTGGACCTGTTCCATACCTGTACTTAGGCCCTAATCACTTGTCTAGTCTAAAGGGTTTAAATGCTATATGCTGATGCCTCTAATGTTTCCATCGCCAGCTTCAAACTCTCCCCTAAGTTAGAACCTCCTGAGTACCTTCTCTTGGAGTCTGATGGATGTTTCAAACACACCGCATTCCAAACATAGCTCTGTGATTACCTATAAGCCTGGTTCATCTCAGTAAGAAGCATACTCAATTCTTCCCTTTTCTTATACCCCATAATCAATCCATCAGCAAATCCTATTGGCTGTATATCAACATATATTCCAATTCCAATCACTTCTCACTTCACCTATTACCATCTTAGTCTAAGCTACCTTTCACTTCTTCCTGGATTAATGCAACAGCCTCCTAACCTCTCTCCCAGCTTCTGCTCTTGGTCCCCCACCCAAAAGCCAGAGTGATCTTTACAAAAGGTAACTCAGATTACATTACTCTCCTACCCGTATTCTAACTAGCATCTCACCACATTCTGTAGAGTCCAAACCCCATGTCATCTGGCTTCTCCCTCTTCAATCTCCAGTCCTACCATTCTTTCCCTTATTTACTCTGTTCCAGCTCTCTGCCCTGCTATTTTATAAAAAGAACAATCTTCCCCATCCTTCTGACTAGAGCACATGCCCCTGATATTTACCTGGTTCATTCTCCTACCAAATATTCCGGTCTCTACCAAATGCCCTCTCTTCAGAGGCTTCCCCTGACCATGTTATCTGGACAACACCTCCCTGGCACTGATCACCCTCAAGGTTGATAGTTTTCTTCACAGCACTTTCACTATTTGACATTATGTGTTTGTTTCATTCCTTGCCAGCTCTCCCACTAGCAGGAGAACTTCATCTATCTCAGTCCTTTCTCCACTGTGCTTAGACTAGTTCCTAGTAAAGAGTACCACACTCCCTGCCATCAAGTCAATTCCAATGCATAGTGACCCCCACTGGGTTTCCAAGCCTATATAAATCTTTACAGAAGCAGATTGCCTCATCTCTCTTCCATGGTACAGCTGGTACGTTTGAACCACTCACCTTTTGGTTAGCAGCCAAATGCCTTCACCACTACACCACCAGATCTCCTTGTTGTTGTTGTTGTTGTTATGTGCCGTCGAGTCGGCCCCGACTCATAGCGACCCCTCCTTAGGTTTCCGAGGCAGTATCACTAC